TGGCAGGTGGAGCGGGTATCCACCAACAGTGCTCCAGCAGCCATTCCACATCTGCACACACAGAGACCACCCACGGACATCTGTTGTTCGCACAGACTCACAGGGCTCGTAACCAGCAGAATTAGCAGAACACAGGATGCCCACGGGACCCATTGTTACAGCACCCAGCAGTTATCAGCTGGTCCCACCAGCCAGGAGCAGCAGAAATGCCCCTGTCCTGGAAGCCGTGGGACCTCACAGCTCCTTTCTGTGCCAGCAAAAGGGAGGAAGTGGGACAATGATGGGAGACGGCGCTTACAGAGGTACCCACAGCACCAGCACCTCGTTAGACCACGGTCCTGCCGTCACCTCTCAACAGGGCAACACAGCAATGGCTGGGGTGACTGATCCTTGGTGCTGGAGAATGTACAGGTTGTCACTGCAGCTGGAAACAGTTCCAGCTTCTCCTCTTCAAACATCTCTTCCGTTTTTGCAACCACAGGGCAGGGGTATAGTCAGGGTTGCCCAAAGGGCAGGAGCTGACCCCGATACCACCAAACAGCGGCTCCGGCACCGTGTCGCCCATAACATCGTTAGCCTGTGCCTGCCTGGCCAACGCTCACACGTTCCCCCTGTACTTGGGCATCTCAGTCTCCTGCAGGACTTGCAGCTACCACCAGGGAGGCTGGGAAATCAGCAGCCCCAGGGACACAGGCTCACGTGCTGGGCAAACACCTGAGCACCCACCTAAGCTACCATGCAGCTCCTTGGCAGGATATAAATGCTTCTATTTCTCTCTGCTCTTTTCTGAAATCTGATGAGACATGATCAAGAGGCCCCTTGATCTGGAAATTTGCAGATAACCCCAAAATACTGCGAGCAGCTTACACACGGTGGCAGAGCTCCAACCCAGAGGAGGCCTTGATACTTTTGAAGACAGGGCCAACGTAAACCTCAAGATGTTCAAACAACAGAAGTCCTACAAGGAGATGCTGGGGGAGGCAGGCTGGTTGAGTGGGGCCAAGAGGAGGCTAAGGAGGATCTAACAGCAACATAGGGTTTTTACAAGGACAACAGAACCAAACTGTTTTTGGTGGTGTCCAATGATACAGGACAGGTCAATGGGCACAAGCTTCAGCTTGAGAGGTCTCCAGAGGCCTCTCTCCACCAACACCTCTGTAATTCTCCATCCTGCTCCCATGTGAGGACAAGCAGCAGAAGTCACCCCTCCCCGTTGCAAGCTCAGCCCTCTGCTTCCCAACTCTGGAACAGCTAAAGCAGCAAGACAAGGTCCCCAAAACCAAATGCCACTTTCACCCTACACTTTGTGCCACCCCACAGCGTGCGCAGGATCTCATCACCTCCCTCGCCTCGGCTGCACCGCTATGAGGAAGGAGATCTGGGTCTGCTGGGACACAACCCTTGAGCCCACCCCTTGCAGCAGCTCCTGGGTCACCTTGGGCAGCTGAAGCCCCATCTCTGGGTCTCCAGCCCCCCACCCAACAGCCAAGTCAGCAGCACAGCCCTGCCGGGCAGGCAGCTGGGGAGACGGGCGCTGAACGCAACAGGACTGGGGGATGTATAAACGTCAGACGGAGAGATGAGGGAGGGCGAAACGCTGCAAACCCTCTGCTCACGGGCACAGCGAGATCTCCGAACCTTCCAGCACACAGCAAAGTTGGGCTCTTCTCCCTGTAAGGGTATTTGGTCAGGAATAGCAAAGGGGAATTGATCTCACCCTGGTTCTAAGAGCAGGCAGGGCAGGCAGGGTGGGCAGAGCAGGCAGGTGGGCAGAGAGGGCAGGCGGGCAGAGAGGGCAAGGCAGGCAGGGCAGGGCAGGCAGGGCAGGGCGGGCAG